GATTAAATTTTCAAATTGCATTAATCTCATGTTACTTTCACATATATATTTATTAAAGTCTGTTTAAAATTTCTTAGGAATAAACAATATCCGAATATTCTGTAAAAATTGAAATCATAAAGGATAAGATTAAAAAAATCGCAGGAAGTTTTGATTTCAAATATATTTTAAAACTTTTTTTTGGTAAAATCAATTCACAATTTATAATTTATAATAAGGATGTTATTTATTGCAATAATATTAAAAATCTTTAAAATATTCAATTTAATATTTCACCTAATTTTATTACAGGGGACATTAGTTCCAAAACTAACACTTGGCCCATTTCTAACACTGAGTGTTAGAAAGGGTCTCAAATAGAAAGATAGGGTTTTTCGGATCCCGTCCTATAATAAGAATAAAAGTATAACAAGAACTATAACAAACATTTTCATAAGCATGACTCGAGGACAACAATATCAATTTTAAACTTCTTTCTGAAATCAAAATTAAAACCGGAGTTCTTTTTATATTAAAACCATTGACCGTTTTCAAGACAATGTCGGGTTTTCTATTTTCGCACATATGTCCTGAATTCTCGATTTTCGAGACAAAACTCATTTTCTCGTTTCTGCAATTTCTAACACTCAGTGCTAGAAAAAGGCCGTGTTAGAAATTATTCCCCCTGTATTAGGATTCACAGTACCCCCCCCCCCCCTCTTCTAGGATATCCTCTTTGATCAGACCTCTATTAATTGAGAAATCTTGACGAACTATTCTGCATAAATCAACTTTTAGTTGCGTACATTAACATAATATTAATTATTTACGCTTTCAAGAATTTATATTAAGACGCAGGATCAGAATATTTCAACATTACGAATCAAGGATACACAGGATAGTTTTTCTACGCAGAATTACCAGAAAGAATTGAGCCGACGCAACATCTGGGATTGGAACTATAGGAAAGAAATAATTGATTCTTTGCTATAAACTTAGATAATTTTATCTAAAAGAATTCATAGGGATTGGAAAATTAGACTTTGTGGTAACTACTATACATGCATACAGATGATACAATCATACTATATGATGCAGCAAAATGGGACATGAGTACACAGGATGCATAAATACTCCCTTCTGAAAGGTGTCAGTGAGCCTTCTCGTTCATATTTTTTTTGTACAACTGTTATACATATTATTCTCTGCCCGCTCCCCTCCCCAAACACCTCAATATCCCTCCCCCCTTCCCTCCCGGCCCTTCCCGCTTACCCAGCACAGGTTGTTCTGCCTAAATACTTTTATGATTACATTAAAACAAACGCGGAGAAGTATTTATTACATATTTAGATTTAAAACAGGAAATAAAAATCAGATTACAAAATATCTGGTGTGTCCTAAAATAAAAAAATGTCTGGAGACAGTTTGCAGAAAGCTATTTAATTCGTCCTAGAAGTTATATCAAATTGCTAAACATTTTAGAATGTTAATGCTTGTCTGTTTTTCTTGGACACCCCTTCTATACATTCTATGCATAGTTTTGCAAGAATGTTGATATAATCGTAAAAGTTTTTTCTGTCTGCAACACCATATATTTACCTTAGCAACACCCAATTTTCTTACAATTTTATCTCTTTTTTTCCTTTCCGAAACCCACCTCTCCATTTTGCCTTTCTTCGCCCACCTTTTCCTGACATTTCTTTCTTTTATCTTTCTTTATTCGCCATTCAATCTTTTCCTTTTTAGTCTGTAAAATTCGTCCACCTTTTCCTGCCATTTTCTTCCACCTTTTCCTGCCATTTTCTTCCACCTTTTCCTGTCATTTTCTTCCACCTTTTCCAGTAATTTTTCTTCCACCTTTTCCTGTCATTTTCTTCCACCTTTTCCAGTAATTTTTCTTCCACCTTTTCCTGCCATTTTCTTCCACCTTTTCCAGTAATTTTCTTCCACCTTTTCCTGCCATTTTCTTCCACCTTTTCCAGTAATTTTCTTCCACCTTTTCCTGCCATTTTCTTCCNCACTCATCAATCTGATATCATTATCAATTTTAATTCTTCCTTATCACAACTATCCAGAATTCTTTCTTTTCTCACTCATCAATCTGATATCATTATTAATTTTAATTCTTCCTTATCACAACTACCCAGAATTCTTTCTTTTCTAGCTTTTTTATCCATTAATAAAATTATTAAAATCCTATCATCCCTTCCTTAAAAAAAAATATTCTCTCTTTTCTACATGGATCCTTTACTATGATTTTTTTCCTTTTATTTTTGACATCCCCCCCCCCCCTGTGTCTTTGATATCCTTCAAACCTTGATTCCTCATCTTTCTGTCCTACCATGAAAAATAAGATTATGTTCAGAACATGATTTCATGTTTTCCGATTTTGTAAAAATCATCTTGTGGTGCATCATTTGATGACATATGGTTGCATCATCCCCCGGTTCAAGATTGCAATCATTCTCTCACAAAGATCTCTGTTCAACCAATTTCCGCGAAGATTAAAATTTCAGCATCCTCAAGTTTAAAAAGAACATTCATTTCAGGTTTTGTTTTCGATTTCTATACTCCTGGTTTAAATTTAATCATTTAAAATCTGCAGGTTTATGTTTAATCATGACAAATCTAGACTTTAGGTTTAGATTTAATCATTATATAAATATCTATTGACTCAAGGTTAAGGCTTAATCATGAGATATCCAGACTCCAAGTCCAGGTTTAATCATGATACATCTAGACTCCAGGTCCAGGTTTAATCATGATATATCTAGACTCCAGGTTCAGGTTTAATCATGATATACAGTGAAACCCTTAAAAAATAATACATCGAAAGAATTTATCAAATGTCGTCTTGACAATTTTTCAATGAGTTTTATACTATATTACGTAAATTTCAGTATTTGCGAAAATAAATAAATAGCCATGAACATGCGGGAACAGTTTTAAAGAGTTCCATATAATCATTTAATTAAAAAACTGAATATCTGCAACATTCCATTATCAGAAAGTGAAGAATACGACATTTGATGAATTCTTTCGATGTATTCGTTATTAAGGGTTTCACTGTATCTAAACTACAGGTTCAGATTTAATCATGATAAATCTAGACTCCAGGATCAGGTTTAATTACGATATACATAGACTTAAGGTTCAGGTTTAATCATGACATATACAGACTCCATGTCCAGGTTTAATCATGACACATCAAGACTCCAGGCTTAGGTTTAATCATAATAAACCTGGACTCCAGGTTCAGGTTTAATCATGATACATCGATACTCCAGGATCAGGTTTAATCATGACATATCTAGACTCAAGGTTCAGGTTTAATTATGATATATCTAGACTCCAGGTTCAGGTTTAATCGTGATATATCTAGACTCCAGGTTCAGGTTTAATCGTGATAAATCTAGACTCCAGGTTCAGATTTAATCATGATATTTCTAGACTCCAGGTTCAGGTTTAATCGTGATATATCTAGACTCCAGGTTCAGGTTTAATCGTGATATATCTAGACTCTAGGTTCAGATTTAATCATGGTATATCTAGACTCCAGGTTCAGCTTTAATCATGATATATCTAGACTCCAGGTTCAGGTTTAATCATAATATATCTAGACTCCAGGCTCAGGTTTAATCGTGATATATCTAGACTCCAGGTTCAGATTTAATCATGATATATCTAGACTCCAGGTTCAGGTTTAATCGTGATATATCTAGACTCCAGGTTTAATCGTGATATATCTAGACTCCAGGTTTAATCGTGATTTATCTAGACTCCAGGTTCAGGTCTAATCATGATATATCTAGACTCCAGGTTCAGGTTTAATCGTGATATATCTAGACTCCAAGTTCATATTTAATCATGATATATCTAGACTCCAGGTTAGGTTTAATCATGATATACTCTATAGGTTAAAGTTTTCACCGATATAAATATATCAAGTTACCAAATAATCTATTCTTAATCTCCTATTGAGAACTTGAGTCGTGTCTGAACCTAAGTTCTAATCTAAGGAAATTAGACCGGATTTATCAAGGGGGGTTGAAAACTATGCTTAGACACCTCAAAGTTATTTTAAGTGTGAAAATAATGTTTTAATCTTAGCTGTTATCAGAAATATAATAATATAATATGAATATCATGTAGAGGTAAAATTTGAAATTTTTGAACTCTTCACATTAATTACAAAACAAAATATTACCAAAACGAAAACAATTTCGAAAAAATTCCATGATAAAAAATATCTTTAAACACAAGGCGTTTAAAATATTAAAAAAATAATGGAAACCTCGAGATCATTTTAATTATTCTTTATTTAACCATAAAATTGTGTCATTTATTCCGGCATTTATTTATTATGAAAACCATATTATTTGGAATTATCTTTATATATGAAAACCTTATTGTCTGGAATTATCTTTAAATATGAAAACCATATTGTTTGGATTTATCTTTAAATATGACAACCATATTGTCTGGAATTATCTTTAAATATGAAAACCATATTGTCTGGAATTATCTTTAAATATGAAAGCCATATTGTCTGGAATTATCTTTAAATATGAAAACCATATTGTCTGGAATTATCTTTAAATATGAAAGCCATATTGTCTGGAATTATTTTTAAATATGAAAACCATATTGTTTGCAATCATCTTTAAATATGAAAACCATATTATCTGGAATTATCTTTAAATATGAAAACGACATTGTCTGAATTATCTTTAAATATGAAAACCATATTGTCTGAATTATCTTTAAATGTGAAAACCATATTGTCTGGAATTATCTTTAAATGTGAAAACCATATTGTCTGGAATTATCTTTAAAGATGAAAACCATATTGTCTGGAATTATCTTTATATATTTAAATAAAATGTCATAACAAGGAAACCTATATTGCAACAACGGGACAAAAACCTTCACATAATATTTTCGTAGTAAACTAAGTGTATTGTTCCCGCCCCCCCCCCCCTCTCCATTCCCAAAACAAAAACACGAACTAATTTTCCATATTTGCAAATCTTAACATTATATTTCAAATTATCGTGTTTATTTTGTGTACAGAAAATTTTTATCACAGGGTCACGTGAAGGACATATTGACGTCCTTTAACTCGCAGTTTTGGAGAAGAGACACTTTATTTTAGTTCCGATCCCGCGCTTTTCCCTCGTTTGACGGGATAGGTTGGTTCCATTCTCAGTATAGTTCTGCATGGTTTCATATACCGGAGCAGGAACTTCAATCTCAACCTCCTCGTAGGTTCTATCTGCTGTCAGTCGCTGACACTTGATTGTGATCATTTTCTCAGTCTTGGTTTTATCCTTCTCCGGGGTTTTTCGATTCTGCTTCGGAGTTTTCGTCGTTATCGAGATAGTTGGAGCTTTGGTGTTGGATACAGAGTGCATGGATGCGTCGCTTTTCGTGCTCGAAAGCGTGCTTGACTTAGAACGCATACTCATCGAGCTGAGGCTACCCATCTTCGATCTTGAGTTAAGAGTTGGAGATCGGGGCGATCCTTCGCTCTGTCGGGAGGAGACAGGTGACTCCTCGCCTCCGGTTCGTGGAGAACTCTTTGGTGTGAAGCTATCCTTAGGAGTATGAAACTGATCCCAGAAGGTTTCGGACGGTTCAATGTGAAGAAGAGAATCGTCCGGAGTGCTCATCAAGGATGAATTTAAAGGTCTCAGGCTAGTTCGAAGCATGTCATTCCGGTGACGGGTTACCGAGAGACTTCGGTTCCTGTGCTTTTTCGAGATCATGGGAGAAGGAGTATTCTGGGTCGGAGTAATAAGGGAGGATTGCCTATGATGAGCTGGGGGAGGAGTTGAAGAGTTCAACTGATTCAAGGAGTTTTGTCTCATGTGAACAGGAGACGGAGAAGGGTTGGAGGAGGGTGGATTTGACTGGTTAATAGTGGGCGGAGGAGATATCTGCCCTAAGGAGGTCAGAGCTGCCACTTCTAAGGCGGAAGCAACGCCTCGAATCGATGTTTTGGCGGAGGTTTCAACGTACATGACAGCTTGAATCTGTTGTGACATGGATAGAGCTTGTTGGGATGACACGGGAGATTTCCCAACCTTGGCTAAGTTTTGAATCACATTTCTGTCAGTTCTTAAATCACTCTGACACCCGACTAGGATAATAGGTGTAGTTGGAGCTTGACTGCGGAGCTCCGGAACCCAGGAATTGATCGCACTGAACAGTGTACTTGGATCACTGATATTGTAGCAGAGCATAAACACGTCTGCCTCCCTGGATGCAAGGGAGCGAGTGCTGTTTCCCTCTCTGCTCCCTGATGTATCCCAGATGGTGTATCGAACCCTCCTGTTTGCAACCATGGAGTCGGAGATGTATCGGTTGAATGTCGTCGGTGCGTAGTTCTGAAAATAAAGATAATATTAATTATTATTATAATTGAGATATTTAATTAACAATTACTATGAAACACTAGATATACTAGTATTTGAAAATATCGTATGATGAATTACGTTTAATTGTCATGTGATCTTGTGATTTAAGTTCAAGGCGGAGATAAGCATGCTATAATCCTCCAACCATTGTAAACTTGTTTATTCAACATATATTCTAGCAGGTTGAAACTTAATCACCTCCCCCCCTAACCCTCTTTATGAGCGATACACCCCCCCCCCTTTCTCCTTGTTCCAGTGTATCAGTATTAAAAACAAACTGGCGCGGCACCAATATAAATATTCCAATTCCTAGTTGAAACTTGCCAGAATAGATCAATCCTTTACTCCTCACTACTGCAAAGCAAACCCTGAGCAATCTCATCCTCCCAAACCCTAAACCTTGCTCGTATTGTAAGATTGACAGGATCAGGGTTATAAACCCAAAATCAGGATGAATTGAGAAAGAACAAGACCATTGAGTCGGTAGCAGTTAGTTCCTGTGTTTGCAAATATACCCTGTATTATATCTAGGTTTAGAATATTGGAACTTTATTGTATTGTATTCAAGTATATTCATCTATTCATCTATTCATCTATTCACCTATTCATCAGTCAAATTTACGCCTGGATGGATCCATCCACCCATCAATCCATCAATCCATCTTGAATCAATTCAGCATGATTAATCTTAATCCAAGGTTTGCACATCTTTAAGTATTGATTTGACAAGACATGTGAATACAAAGAAGAATAAATGAATAAAAACGATAATTAACGAATAAATGAGTTCTAAACTAGAGGTTTGTAAATATGTAGAAAAGACTACCCGGAAAGAGTGAAACTGTTACAAACCAATTGTCTGGTTTAAGTAAGTTGCGTACTTCCTTTAATTTCAATTGTTATTTTTCCGGTTGGTTAAACGAACCTTCCATACCTACTGGAGTAAAACCTCATTTTTGTACGTCCTTTATCAGCTTGGATAATTTCTAGATTTTGAACATTGCCCCACCGCCCCCCCCCATTCAGGAGTAATTTATCATCGTATAGGGTTGAATCCATCTCCTTACTTTAATAAATCAACAGCAACCAAATCCAGTGTTTTACAGCTTTAAAGCTAATAAACTAAGTATTGTGTGAATTTAACAGGTTTATAAGGTTTCGGACCGGGAGTAAAAACTATCTTAAGACCTTCATTTTTGTACAGAAAGATAGTAGTAGATGAATTTTTATGAAAACTTTGTAATATTTATTGGAAAGAATGTTTAAAAGTAAATATTACGAGATTAGATTAAATTTACAAAAGTGAGAGTTTTATCTTCCAAAAGAACTCCAGGTCAGGGATTGAGAGCTAGCGGATTAAGAACAAGAGAAATCCAGGTTAGGGATTGAGAATTATAGGGTTGAGAACAACAGAACTCCAGGTTAGGGATTGAGAGCTAGAGGATTAAGAACAAGAAGAGAACTGAAAGTTAGGGATTGAAAATTATAGGGTTGAGAACAAGAGAACTCCAGGTTAGGGATTGAGAGCTAGAGGATTAAGAACAAGAAGAGAACTGAAGGTTAGGGATTGAAAATTGGAGGATTGAGAGGAGATACAAGAGAACTAAAGGTTGTGGATCGAGAACAAAGAGAACTGATAACTTTTAAGGATTGAGAAGAAGTGAACTAAGGTTTAAGAAAAAGTTACCTAAGGATTAAGAAAAGGTTAACTAAAGGATTAAGAAGATGTGAACTAAAGGATGAAGAAGATGTGAACTAAGGATTAAGAAGATGTGAACTAAAGGATTAAGAAGATGTGAACTAAAGGATTAAGAAGACGTGAACTATAGGATTAAGAATACTTGAACTAAGGGAATTTAGAAAAAGTGAACTAAGGATTAAGAATACTTGAACTAAGGGAATTGAGAAAAAGTGAACTACAGAATTAAAGACCTGAACTAGAGGATTAAAAAGACGTGAACTAGATCTCAAAGGATAAATGCAAAGACATTAAATCCTACGCCTACTCTATGCCCGCGACATAATACTAACCCAGATGTGGAACTAAGTAAATTTGGGCGTTGCAGCCTCAAAAACTCATTCAGACCTGCCACGTTTTTGTCCCTGATACAAGAGAAATCATTAGGCAGGTTTTTATTAACCCTCAAATGGTTAAATGGAACTGTAAAAACGGTGCTAACAATATTTTCTAAGATTCTGAATACAAAGTTACAAACTTTACAACTATGTAAAGTCAGCCAAATATGCCAAGAGTTCCAAACGGTCCTTAATATGTCCANTAGAAAGCATTAGTGTCGTAAAAAATGAAAAAGGGAAGTATTTCAATTTGACTTCAGACTTTAAAGCGCACCTGCAGCCTTTGAACTATTCAGAAGATAAATTATTCTCGTCAAAAGATAATTTATTAGCGTTAAACACATTTTCTTATCATTAGTCAAAGCCATAAATATTTAAAGAATATTAGAAATATTAATTCATGGAAGTTAAGTTGTGTAAACATGACCTTTACACTTTCCGTCAACAAGGACTGGATGCGTCCTAACTCCTGGTTGTAGCAATACTACGGCTCAGAGGTTTTCTAGTTTCCGTGGATAGATTTCTCACCACAATTTCATTGATTTGCCAAGTTCTAGGTTTGGCAAAAATCTGATTACAGGTTTGATATCTGATCAAGGACGCTGGGTTAGCAGTCTGCCCTTGCACTGTTTTGAGAACAAAGATATGTGAATTTATCATGATTTTGGACAATTATTTATCATATTCTCTTCTCTACCTACTTGAACACCTACACTACAATATATTCTTGATATAAAGGATAAAGGTAACAAACCCAACCTTATCTCTGGTCAACTTGTCTAGGGTCTAGACAGTAGGCACAGTCATGTATTAATAATATTTCATCAGAAATTCAAGAAATTTATAAAAATCATGTTTATTCCTGATTCACCAAAAATCAGAATTTCTTTGTTTGTTTCAGAATTTTAAGGGGGGAATAGGAGTAAGAAATGGGAGCAGGACAATTCCCCGCCCTCAACACCAAGATCCCAATCAGTAAACTGTCCGTAGTAATTATCACCCCAAAAAAACAAACCCGAATTTTAATTCATTTCTAGATTCCTGCAACTCCACCAAGCTAGGATCAACTCAATCTTTAAACTCAAAAAAAGAAAAAAAAACTATTCTCAAACTCGACTTTCTAACCTTTGATTTTGAAGCCTGATATTTCGATGTTTAACTCGAGCAGAATTCTTTATAAAAAATATCAAAAATCTACGAATAGGTTGAAATGTAAAAGGATTGAATAATTAGATTAGAAAACTAGAGTTTCAGACAAGTGTTCAGTTCCTTTAAGGTTTAAAAACAAAATCTTTTCATGAAATCTTGACGGATGTGCGTAAATCACAGTGACGAAATCTGTTTTCTGCCAAAGTATTAATTATCTTAAATAAACATGATGAAATTTGGAAATTCCAAATGAATCATTAGAAATAATTTACACAAACTATGTCGCAACCTTATTCATCATTATAAGTAATTTATCATAGTATTAAAGATAATTTAAAATAGTGAATTTGTCTGACCGCAACCTCAATTTTCTGATGTTAAAATGCGTATAAATAAATGAATAAATATATATTTAAAGGGACTGTTAACGAAATTGCATTGGCAAAAAGATTTAAAACGCGCGCGTGAGTTTTAAAAGTTTTGTCGGATAAAAATTTTCAAGCTGGAAAACCGACTTTATTTATCAGATTAAAGGGAGTGTTCGCGAAAAACGAAAAGGAGTATAGGCTTACGGCAAAAAATAAGCGCTTTTGATCGCTACTAATATTTTTCGACGCAATCGTATATAGTTAATATTTCAATTTTTGGCGCTGGATTTTCGAACATTCCTGGATAATATGAAAATGTCGCCTTAATTATCAAAAATCCTCAAAACAGGAATAAATGTTTTTAAAAGTAACTATTAGGTCACACAAAAAAATATTAAGAAATATCAACTATATACGAATGCGTCGAAAAATTATTAATGATTATTGGTTGTAATATCTGAATAATTTGTTTGGAATTAAATTGATTTTTTTACGATCCGAGTTGAATGTTGCAACTTTCTGAATTTGTATGGACGCTACATTCTTCAACATGATTCGTGTTTAACAATTTTCCCCTTATAGACGCAACAGTCAAATTAAAATTAGTACCGATCAAAAGAGATTATTTTGTCGCCGTAATCATATCCCCTTTAATTTTTTGCGAACACTCCCATTAAGGTAACAAAGGTATCTTTTTAAATGGAGGGTTACTAAAATTACACCTACATTCTACAGTCCCTTTTCGAGTAGATATCTAGAGTTCATTAGTCTCTCATGTCTACACAATATCTCTCCTCTTACAAAAAAATTCAAATTTCAATCAACACTACTCTCCTCTCCTCCTTCAAGATTTTAAAATATCTTTTATGAGACTTACTTATCCTATACATTCTCCTCCATACCCCACTACCTTCAGTTTTATTTCTTTAAAATGTTTTATTTTTTCTTACAACTTTACCATTTAACAACTTCAATCTATTTCCTTTTCCGTTTAGTTGAAATTCTTCCTTTTCCAGCCAAACTATTTAGAAAGAATCATAAGATGACTCAGATTGAAAGTCCAAACTAAAGATAAAGAGCTCCTGTGTTTCTAGAGTATCCTGGAGTAGTCAGAATTCCTGAACCTTTAACTAACCACTAGGCCTGGATTACTCAACCAGCAACCAGCTAAGAAAATTTACCATCCGGAAAAAAAGAGAAATACCAAGTCACGAAAAATGAAACACAAATGCCGATTGGAAAAAAAAGATTTTTATATTCTAACCTAACNATGGAATCGTTGTGAATACTTTGGTTGTTTTCAACCCTTTTTTTTGCAATGAAAACATTCCAAATAGTTGTAAAATACCGACGGTATAAAAATTCTGAGATGTTGGCCGAAGCAAGTTAAAACTGTGTAAATGGAAGGGAGGGGTTCTAATCCATCCTTAAATGTATGCACGCTCTCATTGGAAACCTAGAAGGGGGCGTTCGTGATAGAGATGTTAAATAATTGAGTTTTGGAGCGAGGGGGAGAGTTTTGGAGCAAATAGAGATTTATAAAGCGATTAAGAGAGAGTTGAGCAAATCTTTTAGTTCAGGATCAAATTGGAGAGTTTGATGCAAAACTAAGAGTTTGAAAAAATTTGATAGTTCTTGAGCAAATATGAGTTGCTAAAATGAGAGTTCTGGAGAAAATTAAAGTGCTATTCAGCAAAATAGGGTAGTTATAAGAGTTCGGATGAAATTGGCTACTGAGAGTTTTAAGATCATACTCAGGAGATAGAGGAGAGGAAGGTTTTAAAGAAGAGAGCTATGACAACAGAACAAAACAGAACTTAAGTATTTTAGAGAGAGTTACAAATCCGTTAAAGGACAGGTGTAGTGTAATAAAAATGAGAGAAAACTTAGCTTAAGCCTGAATTAATTGCATGGATAGTAACATATTAAAAAAACTCTGACCACGGAGATTTAGCAGTTTTCTGCGATAAATGTGCAAGAATTTGCACAGATTGGACATGTGTGTAATGTGTATGCAAATATCCTAGCTATATTTTTAAACGTGTTCTCAGCAAACAGATTGCAGATTAGCTTGCGAAAATTTCTCTAAATCCCGTGACCTGACGTAAAAATTTGAAATATTTAAAACGTCCATTTTATCTCTGTTGACCGAACACATTGTGGTGAGAATTTGAAAAATATTTTGAAGCCGAGTGTTTAAATCTGTTCACCCAACCATGGGTAGACCTGAGACCACTTTTCAAAATTATTTTAAAATATGAGAAATATCCAAGGTATGAACAACTCTAGTCGTCATCAATTGATGATTTTTAATTAAATGAAAGCAAAATTAGCAACTATAGTTGATCCCCGGTAGAAAGATAAATTAAATACAATATTTAAAATTGAACTTGAACTAGATTCATAATCTTTGATAATGTCAAAAGAAAGATAATACTATAAATCCATAAAATAAATACAAATTGTGATATTTGAAAAAAATTACGTTTTGTATTAAATGATGGGGCATGAAAAAATGTTGTGTTACAAATATTTTCTCAATCATTAAAATATAAATATATATCAATATGTTTATAATGTAATGTTATTTCAACTGCAAGATATGTTTATATTTCGTAAATATAAATTCTCTAATAAAATATATATTGTACAACCGTAACATGAAAGTTGTGAGACAAGTAATAAAAAGATTCGATATAAATCTATGAAAAAATTCTTTAAATTTACCTGAATAAAAATATCTTCGCAAAACCTTGTGACGAGCGCAGTTTTCCCCACTCTGCAGTCCCCAACTAGGACCACAGTAACCTCTTCAGGTCTTGGGACTCGTCCTCTCATTCTTTCACTCATCGTCCCTCCTCACACTATTCGTCTTTTAGTAATCCTGCCTCGTCCAGCAATTTGACTATATTTGTATCACTCTACCTTGGTCCGCGGTATTTTTGTTACTAGTGAAGAATTTGTGAGTGCGACTCTATACTCTCCGCATCCCTAGGTTCTGGTTGGTTAAACGTCGAGATCACGTGATCAACCCGGCCAATCACAAGCCAGCAACATATGTTTCTAAACATGTAGTAAACTTGAATGAAGAGTATATGTGGGGAGGTTAACCCCCATCATTGTCATCCCATCCTTCCCCTTCAGCGACACTTACACACATAACTTTTAAGGATTGAGANCCCCCCCTCTATGAAGTAAGTCCCCCCTAATCCTCATATATGGAGTATTAAGTGTTAAGGTTCCGACTCATGATTCAGATCTTCCTTGAATTCAATTAAAATTGTTAGGATCGTTTAATCACCCTTTCAATGCAATCCCCCCCGCCCTCGCTTGAACCGATCTCCCCCCACCTTTTTGAACTGCAGATCCCCCCTTCTTCGATCCTTTGTCATTTCATCTTCAATGCTATCGATGAAAAACAATCTTCAAATTCTTCAAGTTCAAATTTTCTCTTTATCCTGAACAAAGCGTAGTACGCCGGAGAATGACGCATTTTTATGTGATGAGTAATTTTCATTTTATGCGTCATTTAATTGTCTTATTTAGTTTTTTTCGACTTTATATTCATTTATTACAATGATTTAAAAAACACAGACAGGAAAAGAACTAAAAAACATATTCTGTTTACATTTTGTGAATTTTTCAATTAAATCTTTATTTCATTTTTTTAAACGCTTATATTAGTAAGTATCATCTTTAATTGAATGTGATTTTTTATTAACTACTTATATCACCTTTGTTTTCTTTTGCATCAGTGCTATAAAGTGTTTCAACAGAAATTTTATCTTTATCAAAAAGATTGAAGCTCGTCGTCCTGTCAAAATAAAATTTTTTTGGATAATTTAGTGAAAAGTTTGTATACTTGCAGACGTCGTGATGCAATGCTTTTTTTTCTAGATATCATAATACGTTTTTACAAAGCAAAAATAAAACATAAAGTTAGTTTTAATAGAATTTTCATTTAAAGAGGTTTACATCATCAGGTTGCAAAGATATAGGTATTAAAAAATTTGAGTTTGCCGCCTTTGCGGCAAAGAATCAATTTCTTTGTTTATGTTTTTTTTTTGCAAATTTATCAATTAAGTTTGTTCAGCACAGTTAATTCTAAAAAGAGTAAGATCATTGGTTTGGTTACTGAATCAGTATATATATACATATATATATATATATAT